GATGTTTACTGAAAAATAAAAGGGTTTATATAGTTATAATATTGCTTTACCAACAAGATAAATCAATTCTTATTACATAACGGTATGTACTGTTGATGCTTTCTGTGCTTAATGAACTGATTGTTTGAAGTAGGACCGCTAGACCCATTCTCCCTGTTCCCTATTTTACTGGCATTGAGGCTAGTTAGAAAACTAAGGAACTGGTAAACCAGGCGAAAACCAACAATTTGGCGGAATAAACATCGAAAACAGAACTATAGGAGAAGGTGGGTAAGAAATAGGTGATAAAGATATCAGACAACCAGCAGCAACAACAGCAACAAAAGTGAATCGTCATCAGCGTCGGCAATCTAAAGGAGTTCATCAATTTCACACACCTATACAGCACTCTTTCAACAACAGGCGGATATAAAAGCCACGATTGAAAAGGCGAGAAGAAATTTCAGTGGTCTGAAATCAGTGTGAATAACATCAGAAGTTTTGAACATTAGTTTATGTCAGCCAGTGCTTCATTATGGTCTAGAGACTTGACGCTCATTAGGTCAGACGGCTGGTTAGTCAGAAAGGATAAGCAACAAACAACCCTTACAGCTACCCAATCATAAAACTTCCGCCCAACAAATGTGCAGGAGGATATAGAAACGAAGTGGATATATGCCGAGGAGAGTGTTGAGTGAAATCACGCGCCTGATCATAGAGCTGAATGCAGACAGAAAACAAGGAATTGGCGTTCAAAGGTATAGTGGAGAAGATCGCGCCAGGCGAGGGGAAATCACATGGTCAAGTGTAAAACCACTTTAAATGAACATTAGATGACGAAGTGAAATGAAGATATGCTGTTGAAGACCTTGTTCCCCTGTACACTCGGAGGAATAATATTATGTATTACTGATCAAGCGAAAACCGACAAATTGGTCGAAGAAGCAACCAGAGAAGACAGGACTCCAGGTAAACATAGACAAAACGCACGTTATGAAAGTAACCAACCAACAACAACAACAACAGCAACAACATCCAGCGCCAATCAACATCAACGGGAGCGATTAGGAAAGAGGTTACTTCATTCATTCACTTATCTAGGGAGCATTGTCTCAACTACAGACGGTGGAAACGGACGAGGATGTCAAATCGAGCGAGAATCGATAAGGCGAGCGAGAAACACATTCATCAACCTGAGATCAATCTGGAAATCTTCGTCACTCAGAATCAACAACAGAATTCCGTTGGATTTTCAATACAAACAACGTCAACTCAGTCAGTTCTTCTATATGGATCAGAAACTTGGCGGGTGGAACACAAAGAATATTTCCAACAGCCTGTTGCAGACATTTATCAACCAACAACTTTCTTCGCTGGATCTATACTGAAGATCCGATGGCCGGGCCGGAAACAATCACCACCAACAAGAAACTATGGGAACAAACAAAACAAGAAAAAACCAATCGCCCAACAAATATGCAGGAGAAAGTGGAGATGGATGGATCGGACACTCGCTGAGTAGACCGCTAGGTGACATCGCGCGCGCGTGAGGCCATTTCTCGAGTGGAAACAGGCCGAAAGGGAAACACGCAGCGAGTGGGACGTTGGTGCAATGGTGAGTGACATGGAGGAGATCGTGTGAAGAGGAGTTGTTTGAAAGAGTATGGACTAACATGGATGCAGGTGAAAAGTACAGCAGCAGAAGACAGAAGCAAGTGGAGACGTGCAGTTGAAGCCCTGTGTTCCACTAGGAACCCAAGGGAGCAATAATATGACAAATAATAATTTTAACGGACACATGTGTCGCAAATCACACATCCTAAAGTTGTAATTCAAAACAAAATGAATTGGAATATTTATTTGTCTGATTTTACGATAGGTTACCAAGAAAGTGAACAAAACTGCCTGGTGATTTACGCCGCTGGATGATTGAGATGAGTGTTGGAGTCAACGCTATGTCACCCAATTCTTTTTTTTTATTCCTTTACGCTCCGAGTGGAATTTCAGGCTTCATGCTTTAGGTTTGGAATTTTTAAATTACGATTTGACTACGATGATATTGCAGTTTGTAGATCTTTGAACATCCGTTGACCAGATGTTTCACGTGTAAGCCACGAGCTCTGTTCAATTTCGTCAAATATCGGAAGTAGTGCAGTGGAAGCGGAAACGTCTGTTGACTGATTTTTTCTCTCTTAGGCGATAAATCGCCTTTGCAAGTAACAGTAGCATAAATACAGGGCGGTAATATCCTCCATAGGAAACATCGTTTCAGCCACAAGCAACTTGGATGGATGAAGATGTCAAATTCAACAAGCCAGAATCGGAGAGGCAAGATACGCCCTAATTAACTTGAAGTCAGTTTGGAAATTTTCTATACTCCGCCTCAGCATGAAGAACAAGATTCGGATTCTATTAAACACAAATATGTGAAATCAGTCAGTCACTTGTTCTATACGGGTCAGCAAATTAAAGAGATCGTCATGAAAATAATTTCCAACAGATTGCAGACTTTTATCAACAGCCGCCCATTCCTCTGGCTAAGCTCTATGCTGAAGATCAAGTGGCCAGGCGGCTGGCCAAAAAAATCGGCAACAAGAAACCCTTCAGTGGAACAAATCAACCAAGAACCTATCCCTCAACAAATATGTAGGAGAAAATGAAGATGGATTGGGCATATGTTGAGGTAGCCGTCAAATGACATCGCTCGTTAGCAAGGACATAACTCAAGTGGAATACAAAAATGGGAAGCTACGAGTGTTTCGTTGGTGAAAGGGTGAAATGAAGTAGATTGTGAGATGAGGAGACCAGAGATTATGAGCAATCGTGGACAGATCAGGAGAGAACGAGGTGTAGATGCGTTGTTGAAGCCGTGTATTCTATTCGGAACCAAAGGGAATAATAATAATGATAAATGTTCGTAGGTACTGAAGATATCCGGTTTCTAATAGACTCGATACGTCAGATGCAATAATTTTCAGTCAAACTTTCAATTACCAACCTGCTTTTCTATATTTTTTTCAGAAGCACAGCTACTTGAAACAAAAGAATAAAGAAAACAAAACACATAGATCAGCGAAAAGACTCTTCGGCGAATTCATTCTCTTAGCTGTACAATCGCAAATATATTTGTGTTCTATATATATGACCAGATCTGGCTAACAGGTTCAATAATACCAGGACGTCATGGTCTACCAAAGGTACAAAAGGTTGGCCCCCCAATTCTGGATATGTCAGGTTCCCCTTACCACTCTATTGCAAAATGGCTAGCAGATATTCTGGAACCTGTAAGGAAGCAATTATGTACGCACTCGCTTCGTGATACCTTCCAGTTGATCGAGTGCATACAAGACATGAATGTATCTAACAAAATTATGCTGTCCTTTGACAGTGAGTCACTTTTCACCAATGTCCCACTCAAGGAAATGGTCTGCTTCATATGTTCTCTGAACGTCCATTTCCCATTCGACGACACCGTCTACAAACAAAAAGATGGTATTGCAATGGGGTCGTGTTAGGTCCACTACTATCAGACTGCTTCGTAGCAAACCTCAAGAGAGGTTCACTAAAGCCGAGCATTGATAATTCGCGACTGTATAAAAGATACGTGGACAACATTTTCATTAATTGTGACAACAACAATGACCTCAATCTACTGCTGAAGACATTTAACAGTTGCCATCCATCAATATAATTCACTCTTGAAATGGAAAACGAATCAAAAGTTCCGTTTCTTGATATGAAACTAACAAGAAGAACTGATGGGAGTCTAACAAGATGGATCCATAGGAGACCTACGTGGAATGGTCAGCTAACAAGCTTCTATAGCTGGGTACCTATTCAACAAAAGCGAAATTGAATTAAATCACTTGCCACCGACATTCAATGCATCTGTAGTCCTGACGTTCTGGAAACAGAATTAGATATTCTAAGAGAAATCTTCATCCAAATTGGATGCACAATAAAATTCATTGACAAAATTCCCAAACCAATAATTCGAAGAAACGAAACTTCACATGCGCCTGAAAAGAAACTCTACATGAACTTGAATTTCAAGGGAAATTCGGGAAGCGTTATTCTCAAGAGAAGGATCACATCATCTCTGACAAGAACATTCTTTGCAGCAACACTAAAAACAGTGTTCTCCAGTCGCCCACTGATCTGCAGAAGCCTCAAGGATAAGATCCCGCATCTCACCACTTCTATGTGCATATATCAATTTGTCTGCTGCTGTACATTGGTCATTCGACGTGCACCCTGCGTCCATGAGGATTCGAAAACACTATCCAGCAAGCATGGTTGAGAAAAGGCAATAGTGATGCAATAAGGAGTGAGATAACTGAACACCTGGTTAACACTGATCATTCCATCTCAACAAACGCCTCCTTCAAAGTAATCTACAGAGTCAAAAACAACCTACTAAAGGTAATACGGTTTCGAGTTCTTTGTATCGCTGAAGCTCTGGCCATTCACATAGAAAAGCCGGAGCTGTGAATACAAAAGAAGATTACTCAATCACTTCTACTGACATAGTAACAACTTTTTGTGTTTTCGGTTTTGATTTGATTTGAGCTTTTTGATTTTGATGACTTAATTTTGTTTGTTTACCCGTTCTTTAATTGCTTATAATTCTTGTATTCATTCAGAACTATTACGCAATTTCGTATTATCTACTTTGTTCCTATGTGCATCCTGAGTAAAACTCACTCATCAAACAATCAATATTATTACATCACTTTTTTTAACAAATGTTTGCGACAACTCAACACCTAATTTTCTTGATCTTCACCTGTTTAGTTGAAATAACCATAACCAATTGTAATTTTTTTTGACAAACTTAATGTACACATACATACAAAACAAGAGATATATATATTTGCGATTGTACAGCTAAAGTAGAAAATGAATTCGCCGGCGAAAAGAGACTCTTCGCTGATCTACATGTTTTATTTTCATTAATGCCTGAATGGGGATTATCCATGAATTAAAAAGAATGAAGATAAGACAAATTTCAATAATCTTACTTTAAAACTTTCGTGTCTGAAGATAAAATTTAATTCATTGCCAAAAATCTCCTCCTCTGTAGCTTTATATTCTTGTAGACAATAACAGACGATTACAGTTGACATAATATGCTAGAATAAAGATTGAAAAGCATAAAAATATAAATAAAACTGGATGAATTACGCATGAAATGTATTAAAATGTATTTAAATGCTATTTGAAGGAATCTCAAAATTTGGCTAAACTTTTGGAATGAATGAATCTTCACTGTATTACGTTAATATTAGTATGTGATGTAAATCAGACTACATATAGTAGAGTAAATGTCTGTGGTGAAAGCGAACAATGACACACTGTCATTTGCTGAGAATGTTTAGAGCACAATCTCTTGCTCATAATCTTATCAGTTATGTCGTACTATTTTAGAACTATTCATCAGGTTGCACCTATGGAACATTGATACAAGTATAAAACTTGGCCACTGTGGTAGAGCATAACCCCATTATGGATAAGATTTTATTTTGATAAATCACACAGTGTTGGACAGTTATATGACTCATAATTCTAGTTTTATTCTACCTACAAAAGATCTTTCGACTTCAAACTCAAAGTACCCTTTAAAAAAACGATTAAGGTTAAAATCATGTCTTTAATGCACTGGATAACGAATTGACCAATGGAATTCGATCAGCACTATTAAGCACCAGAAACACAGGACATACTGGCTACAGTGATCAGTGACCACTCAATAGAGTTACTTACCCACTGGTTATAAGGTTGAATCTATGTGAGCAATAATCCCTTTCTACTATCCAGAAGATTTCTGTATTCTGTACCTCTCTGTAAATGACTGTCATTTAGGAAGGTGAACTTAAATTGTAAAGAAACTTAATAGTCATTATTCGTCTAAGTGCTTTTCAAGTGGAAATATCAAAAAAAAGACAAGTAAAAGTATCCTGGGTATATACATTGTCATTTCTTATCAATGCGAGTCAGGTAGAATAAATTATAAGCTGTTGTGTTTATTCATTTTTCAGTTATTCAACCTCGTAAATCCATTATGGATGAGATTTTATTTTGATAAAGTGTCACACAGTGTTACACGGTAATATTAACTGATGCCACCACGTTTCGAGCACAAACTATCGCTCATAATCCTATCAGGCTACTGTCACAACTTTTTCCTTTCATTTATATGCATATGAGGAATCGATTAGATATTGGAATAAAAATCAGTATAGGATAATGCACATTCAAGACATCAAGACAACTAAAACATACTAATCAAACAGATTCATTCATTTTGTCAGTCGTTTCGTCAAATCATCGCGTTACATCCGACATATATCCGGTTTTATTGTAATCACCTCTTTACTTATTCTAACAGTTGAATTCAGGAGATTTGATGATTATTATTCCCTTTGCTTCCAAGTGGAACATAGGGCTTCAACAACACATTCCTTTCCTCATTCTGTTTTTTTGCTGTCCTCTTCAGAGTGTCTTGTAATCTCTTATCTCTTCCTCACACGCCCTCCTCCATGTCACCGTCACACCAACGACCCACTTGTCGCTTCCAATTGGGACTCCACTTGAGCAATAGTCTGCATTGTGCAGTGTCATTCAGCAGTCTCCTCCGTGGCATATGTTCCATCTTTTTTCATTTTTCTCACACATATTTGTTTATCGATCGGCTCTTGGTTGGTTTTTTTATCAGCCAGAGTTTCTTCCTGCTAATTCCTTCTTCAGTATGGACCCAGCGAAGTGGGTAGCTGTTGATAAAAGTCCGCAACCTGTTGGAAATCCTTTCTATGACTCACGCAGTATAAGTTTCTGACCCATATAGAAGAATTGACTGATTTAAAATTTTTTGTTGAAAATCCATATCTTGTTCTTTATGCTGAGGTGGAGTGTAGAAGGCGTTTCTTGCTTTTCTGATTCTGGTTGGGCTTTGACATCTTCATACGTCCGAGGTACCTATGGTTAAAACCCAGGCTTCTTGGAACACGGTTTCGATAGGCAACAACATATACCAAATAAGCGACCTCTTGGATGTTTGTTTTGAATAATACCCCTGGGTCATAATACAAAAACAAACTGGTAATAAACCACACTTTGCATTAATTATGGATTACACGATGATGCTCAACAGTGAACAGATCATCAATTAAAAAGGCTATTTAAGAAATGTTATTTCATGGGTGACGCCTAGCACTGATATCCAGAATCTGCTGTTCATTTTATATGAGACATATCAGCCAGATTTGCATGTGGTCCTCAATGAATGATGCCATTCCTCCAGGGACTCACTTAAATCCAGCACCCATAGTTTCAAAATTCAAGGTATTATGTTCTAGACCAACCGGGCCAGGGGAACCGCTTCTCGAACAATAGGTAACAGTTATTATTATTTTTTTCAAAAATATTTCGCTTTTCACTTTGATTCATTATTATTATTATTATTGTATCCTTTAGTTCCTAGAGGAACATAGGGCTTCAGCTGCGCACCTCCATTGACTTCGGTTTTCTGACAACTTTTTCACCCTGCTCCAGGTCTGCCCACATGCTTTCATCTCCTCTTCACATGACCTCCTCCAAGTCACCCTTGGACGACCAACTCGCCGCCTCCCTTTCGGGTTCCACTCGAGGGCTTGTCTAGTGATGTCACTTGATGGTTTCCTCAGCGTATGGCCAATCCATCTCCATTTCTTTCTGCCTATTTGTTTCACAATCGGTTCCTGATTGGTTCGCTCCCAGAGATCCCTGTTGCTGATCTTTTCTGGCCATCTGATCTTGAGTATTGAGCGAAGACAGTTGTTAATGAAGGTTTGAAGTTTGTTTGAGATGCTCTTTATGACTCGCCAAGTCTCTGATCCGTATAGTAGCACTGACTTCACATTGGAGTTGAAAATCCGGATCTTATTTTTGATGGTGAGTGCTGTTGACCTCCACACAGATTTGAGAGTAATGAAAGCTTGTCTTGCTTTTCCGATTCTGGCTTTGATGTCCTCGTCAGTTCCGCCTGTAGTTGATTCATTATATTGAACCAAAATGGCAGCTTTTGCTTTTGAAATGCTGAGTGCTGAGTTCGAGTTTCAGGGAAAAAAACAGCTACGCACTGGAAACTCAGAGGGCATCAAGATGACGAGTCTGAAATAGGACATAATGCGCATCTTGAATTCTACTACTACTACTTCTACGCACTACTCAATATCTACCAAAGAACATCACGTTAATTTTCTAAGGTTGGTTCGTAAGGATATGATTTGTTTTCCAGTATGACTACGCATTAATTTCAGTTAAAGCACTAATAAAAACCAGCTGGGAATACTGGCCAGTTGTTTCGTTCTAGTTCGGGACTCAAAGACAGTACTCGCTCAGTGATGTTCGAACCCACGGACTTCCGGTTATAAAGCAAGCTCTTACACTACTCAGCCCTGTGGGGCCCAACTCTATGGCAAGTTCATTAATTATTACTTCTAGCAATCCGTGAATTTAGCGTGACTATCAGCCAATGTCATCCCTAGCGAGTATTCACCCTCAGTCCCCTTTCAGTGGATCCCACTGATCACTAGTTCTCATTAGAACTCCGGAAAACGCAGTTATACAGCCAGTAAATAGAACGCATTGGATTAATTTAAAAGAGTTTCTTTGTGGGGGTTTGATTTGTTTAAACGTCCTACGTCCGTAACCCAGAGGGTGAGTACTGCCGTCGAGACATGAACTAGAACGAAATGAACACTTTGGTGCAATAAAACCAACCACCAGAAGATACAAATTTAATTGAAACAAACAATTTGCCTTATCTTCAGTGATCATAACTGATAATTTAAAATGACTATGCCTGTCAATGAATTGTGATTAAGAAGACAGGTGGAATTGTCCACTTGGGAGACTACCTGTTCTTATTTATGGGATTAATTTCATCTATTTTTTTATATATATATATATATATATATATATATATATCTGCTGGTCACTTGAGGTTTAGAGTATGGTAGAACAACTGTGACCCTAGCTATTCTAAAGGCATCCATCTGAAGTTTCTGCAACATTCCTGCAGTGTCTATTGATTATTTCATGTAACCTTGTTATCCAATATCTAAAGTATTGAAAATTAAACTGGAGATCAGCGGTAGTTTGTTTGTCATTATTTGAAATGTGCGGCCTAATTAATTAAGCATTGAACGAGTATCCAGTTCCGTGTAAAGTAACATATCTGTATACTATTCAACTGAAAAAAGCATCTGATGAGAACCTTCAGATAGTTCTCCTCCTATGAATAACTTCAAATACTGTGGTCAAAATACATTAGTTTTGAGTTTAATCACCGAATGATATCGGCTAGAGAATCACTGAATACCAGAGAGTCCTAGGAAGTTGTTTCATCGCTGCCTGGGGTTCTTCATTGGAAAAGGTAAATAACCCCGTCACGAGTTGAAACACATAATCAGTCAAATCCTAGTAAACAAACACTAAGGAGTTTCGAATTCATTCCATATTAGTTTGTTTATTAGACGTATTACACGGTGAAACAGCATTGTTTACTGGATGACGTTTCGAACACAATTTATTGTGGTTCAGGATCCTGTCAATTATAATCACACGAATTCAAAACTTGAGTTTTATAGTTTTCTTTGTTCTCTCTTATTTGTCGTCGTTGGGGTAGTAGAATTGTCCAGATGTCCGCCTGGGCATGTGTTGAATCATTCCTATTACATGTATTTGCAGTTGATTCGATAAACAAAGCTCGCGTTACCAATCTCTCCCTCCACTAACTCTGTTACATTAAATTTCAAAACTGTCATCTCATCCCATCATCCTATATTATGGTTGTTTGTAATTGCATGTAGTAAGTGCTATCTACGACTGCACTATTCTCTAGATTTTTCATGTTATTATGGTCAACTAATCTAGAGTTTATCACGTTTTCATGCCCCTCTAGTCTGACTACATCTGTTCTACTACTTTGACCTATGTATTTGACCTTGCGATCATTGCAGTGCTCAGTGGTTGCATTTCATGAATTAACACAAAGCCACAAGATAGCCTGGGAGAGGATTAATGCTTTCAGGATCAGTTGGAATCTACATTCAGCTTTATTTCCAGTTGTTTTCACTGCCTTTATCGTCAGTAAAAGCTGTCTTCTCTTTTTCCTTTCGTATGTTGATGGTATCGCTAATGTCAATGTCATATTTGACGCTATAACTATCCATTTGAATAGTTCCTTATTGAATTAGGTAGCGAGAGAGATCGCTTGTGATACGTTATGTTACATTACATATATCATATCACAGTAACTATTTTCTTTTATCAGACAAATGACGTACACAAGTAGCTAAGTGTGTTGGTGTTCACAAAATACGGTAAAGATTTCTACGTGTGGTTGATGAATGCTGGATGTTAATCTAAAGTGAAAAGCACTCAATTTTCTTCATCTTTCTTATTTAGCACTGAATTCACTATTGACAGACATGCGTAGTAAGCAGTCATTCATATGAGTTCAAAATTATAACTATGTCGGTTCAAATGATGAAACCTGGTCCCAGATGATATAGACCATTCTTTAGGTACTGGAATTATCTCATCAACATGTGATTACTGATTACTAATATCAGAGATTGGATATCATATAAAGTTTGTGGAATCCAATTTCACTGCGATCCTCTTCATTTTGTAGATTGGATTGGAGTTTTGAACCTTTATTCAGCTTTTCATTACTACTTAACGCACACTGTATCAACGAGGTGTCGTTTACACAATCAATGACAAAGTTCAACTTCAAACACTGTAGGAGATGCAGACGCCTTAATATATGAAAACGAGAAACCACTCTCAAAAAGAGGATTAACACTTCTTACTCAACCCTGACCTTAATGGTTTCCTTACCTGATCTTAACCCTAATCTATTCCTAACCAAATCTGATATCTTCCTAAATGAGTTAAACTAAACCAGTCTCTAGCTTAAATCTGAACTCAGCCTTCTTCTAACCTAACCTGAAACTAACCAGATACCTGTTTAATGCCAAGTTCAAAGACAGTGATCCAGAAGAACGAGAGCATTAAAAAATCTAAAAAATACAAGCGCAACAAGTTAGTGTAGCCACGAAAAAGGCTCTAGCGAAAGAATTGTAAAAATATTTAACAGGTATTTGGTTAGCTTCGAACCAGGTTACGGAAAGACGATAGTGAGGGTTAGGTTGGAATGCAGTCAGGGACCTGAATTTGAATTATGAGAGTGACTGCTTATTTCAAGGTTCCCCATGCGTTTGACCCTTTGAATAGCATTTCTTTCACTTTGCTTTTTCTAATATAATTCCACTCTATTCGATAATTTGTCCACAAATATTGAGTTACTCACTTGGCTTCACTGCTTTGCTCCAGCTTAGCCCTCCAAGGTCAATGGTGCGTTCGCCACTGCTGGGTTTATTAAATTTTATTTCGCCCATTCACGTTTTAGGTTCAGAAATATTTATCTTAACATTTTGGCCGTTAGCACAAACTTTTCTAGGATTATTTTGTAGGCATTTTGTTTCATTAGTTGGAGGATTTCATCATGAGCTGCTAGAGGTTAGAGAGGCAATGGAAAACCTGTGAGCACTGGACAGCTGTTTCTTCAGTGCAGTATTGAACTTTTCACAGTAGGCACCCACAGGGATTCGAACCGGGGATCTTCTGGTTACAAGGCGAGCTCATAGACCGTTAGGCCACTAGGACCAACCGATCCAAAGGCCAGTCCACAAATTCTAACTTCTACCAATTCATGATTTAGCGCGACAACTACGCTTTATCTTGTCCAGTGCGTAATCGTCCTCACCTCTAACTAGAATCCAGGTACTTACCTGAATAGGAGCACTCCCTAGTGAGCATCAGATCAATTTTCAAGTGTTGGTTTTGTCAGTTTAATCCTAATTGAAGTGTATATTTCGCATGATTTATGAAAATGATCGCGAAAACAGGTAATCGTACTTATCATCAGTTTAAAAGCAATCACTGTAGACATTTCAAAACGTTCAATACTCAACAGTAATCATACAAACATTTAAATTGTTCCTTTTCAAAAAAGAGTAACTTTTAATAAATAAATAAAATTTTGAAGGCGGCAAATCGCTAACTTACTTGTAAGATGGTTAGTATAGCACTTGAGATGAAATAACATACCCAAATGATATAATTGCTATAATAGGAAAAGCAATTAAAGTTGGCGGTCTCTAAAAAAAGAGTCAATTAAAATACATTTTTTAAGAATTACGAAATTTAAAAAAGCAGCCAATGAGAAAAAGTAACCAAGTTGAACAATTCTCGGCTTAAACTGTTAGTTAGTCAAAAACCTCTAAGAAAAATAAACCTCGAAACTGGGGATTCAGACTAAGAGAAAGTGACTTCATATATAAAGCTTTCACAATAATAGAGGAAATTTGTAGCCCAAATAAATGATTTGCATGTTCACTTATTAGTTTGTAGGGATTTGGTTGATTACAGGATTCCATCATGAGCTTACATTGGCTAGAAAATCATTGGAAAACCTGGGAGTGCTGGATAGCTGTTTTGTTCTAGTCTGGGACTCTTCATCAGTACGCACCCAGCAGGGTGGTTCTCTAACTAATGTCAGCTCATGATGAAATCCTGTAACCAACCAAGTTCAAACCAACACTTGAATATTAATGAGATGCTCACTAGCGACTTGCCTTATTCAAGTAGGTAGTTACCTGGGGTTCTAGTGGGAAGTCGTGACTAGTAGGCTGCGGATGGTCGGGTGTGAGGACAAATACTCGCCGAAGACATTGGCTAGGGATCGCCCTTTGTCGTGAATTGGAAGAAGTTTGAATTCATGGACCACTGGATAGGGTCTCAGTGGCTTGATGGTCTACGAACTCGCCTTGCAACCAGAAGAACCTGGGTTCGAACCCTGTCGTTGGGTGCGTACTGTGAAGAGTCCCGAGCTAAGACGATACAGCTGTCTAGCACTCTTATATTTTCATGTGTTGTCCTTCTCTGATCCAGGCGGTTTAACTATGAACCTTCGACTGTCCTTCTAAGCAATGTATTCAGAGGGAAATTCAGTTTGAAGTGAACTTATATCAATTCTACATGAGCAATATGGTTGTATCTGTCGACAGACTCTTTCGTGGTTGTGTTATTAATGTGAATTAGTACCGATCGGTCTTTCGACTTGAAATTCGATTTTTCTAACATGCCGCTCACTCTTTATTAGTTTGTAGATTTGATCTATAGTAATGCCCCATCTAGGGATCTCCTGTCACTTTCAAGCTTTTAATGGCCTAAAATTTCTACATTTTCGCAGTCAAACTGGTGTCCATAGCTACCAATGTGCATCTCTATGAAAGGATGCATATCACGCCTCTTGACGGCTAATTTATGTTCTTGGATTTGAAGAAGTAGAAGAGGCCCACTTGGATCAATAGGATGCTTATAACATTCAGTTCATGCAATTCACTTTGTTGATATATAGTGTTGGTCATATCTCGTTTTACTGTTCAGTAAGTATTTTGTTCTGATGAATACGACTGAGTGAAGTGATTGTGTTTATTTGTGTGTAATATTAGTATTATAGTCATTTTTTTCGGGAAAATTCTGAAAATATTTAATTGTTGGATGATGATTAGCAGTGGAATACAGGATGCGCATTTCATTCTATTTGAGACTCGTCCGCCAGCTGGATGTACCTGCATTTCTTGGTGAGTGATGGTGTTCCCACAGACGCTCGAACCCGAAAATTCAATTAAATTAATATGTCCCGTTGAACAAGAGGTGGCTGTCGTAGTCCAAGTGGTCTAGTGGATAACGCTCTGGTGTTTGAAACTAAGGGCACTGGATTTGAGCCTCGGTGGGAACACCATCACTCACTGAGAAGTGCAGATACACTGATTTTGATTGATTTTTGATTTACAGCTTGATTCCACACTGTATTTTTGGTACAAGTATGGAATTTTCAGCATGGATATCGGTAGCCCAAATTTTGCAGGCCAACCATAGATATCAGGTGTGCGCCGGCGTGTGCTCGAACCCCGGACCATGTGCATGGTCGGCGAGAGTCCTAACCACTGTGCCACCGACGCACATCCAGATGACGAGTCGCAAATAGGACAAAATGCACATCTTGGATTCCACTGTTAGTCACCATACACCAATTAAATGCCCAGACATCGTCTGAGCATTAGCACGAGAAGCCGACATGTCAACCTGAGACCGAGCACTTCAGTCCAACCAATCGACGGGAAAATCTAAAATTCAACTGAATTCTGAACATCTATTAGGATAGATTTTCATGTGGCTTTTGAGGATAGTTTTTTGTTCACCGTTGCATTTCAACTTAGATATTTTTCATGGAAGAAAGTCAGTAAAAATAGTTCTACTAAATTCTCCTTAGGGTCGAAATACCGCAATGTGTTTGCGCTTTTTAAAAAAAACATGTTTGTACGTGATCTCTTTTGCGTTCTTTTGGATTTTCGCTGGCTCAGTTGAGTATTTTGAATGTGTGGTCTGACATATGAGAAAGAAAATTTTATCCTTTGTGAACCTGGCGTTTTCAAACAGGCCAAAGATGTTGTCTAGAAGGAAAAGGTCAAATAAAGTCCATACGAAGTTCTATTTTCGCACATTTGATTGATAGTGGTCACCAAGTGGACAAAAATAGTGCTTTCAAAGTTATTTACCGCATTCCATCAAGCCTTTCGAACGGAATCAGAACCCGACTTTTACACTTAGCCGAAGCTATGGGAATTCGAGAGAACAATCCTAGTCTTTGTATACAAAAGAAATTTGTTCTACCTTTGTCTCTCCCTTGGCCTAGGTGAATTCTATTCAAAACCCTCCCACCCTTTCTTATCATCCCTCTCCTTCGTACTTTTATGATATTTATTTAAACTCTGATTATCGTTCCATTTGATTTGACCTAATTTATTTATTTATTGAATTGTCTACATATATGCATATACTAACTTTGTTATTCTTATCACCTATATAAGCCTTATTAACAATATTTTGTTATTATTATAATCATCGTTATTAACTTCGTTCAAAACATTTACCACATTATTATTACTATTATTATTATGATTATTATTATTATGATTACGATTATTATTTGATCCACTAAATCACCGTCATTGGTTAAAATTTTATATATATAAGTCTATGTAAATTAGAGTAAAGCCTGAAGAAGATCTAATTGAAAACAATATTGTTCGCTTATATGTCTTGTTCTAATATGCAACCTCTGAAATTGAATCATTCAGTCCAGAGACAACAACCACATCAAAACAATAATCTTTTGTACACAAAGTACTGACTCCATATTACTTCAATGATGAAGCTTTCGATGCATACAAAGAAAATGCAATCGCTCACCGTTCTGCTGAATTTTGACTTACTTTATAGAAATATTTAATAATAATGACTAACATCTTAAGTGGTGACCGAATAAGTTCACAAAATAATCGCTGATTGAGTGCATGTATTATCCTAACGTATCAATTTGCGAAATCAGTATTAGTCTACACCACAAAGAACACCTCCTGGAACAGAACAAATCCGGTTGTGAGAAACCCTTGCGTTACCACCAAATGCACTTATTCGTATACCCGTACTTTCAATAGAATGTATGTAGAAAAATCACCGAGAATACCTATCGCATAAGCGGTTCTTTAGGATCTCAGCTGCCGTATCGCTTATGCAGTTCACTGAGGAAAGCCTTCTTTATGGCTGAGCTACATATCAGTTTCTACAGCCAACAAATGATCAATGGATGTGTGAAGGATAAACTGCCGCTTTGGACTGGCCACTTCAATGTGTGTTTATAAATTTCACCTGCTCGTATGGAGCTAGTTATATTGGTCACCCGCACAAAGCGCACGCTTTCCAGACGCATCTCTGAACATTATCGGGTATGGTTAGCAAAGAGATAATGCAAGACAATTACTCGCTCAATTCGCGAGCATTTGGTGAACTCAGGCTACGTAGCTCCACCAGAGTCGTCTTTCAACATCATCTACAAAGTGAAGCCAAATGGTACAAAGGGAGTCAGGTTTCTGCTTCTGTGTATGGCGGAGGCTCTGGCAATTCTTCAATACAACCCTGAACTCTGTATACAGTAAAACGTTTGTCCAGTCTCTTATTCTACCTCGGTCTTAACCTCCTCACTAGTCGTTCCCTGTAAAAAATTTCGATTTCTCTTTTCTTTTTTAATTTTCAATTTCACTTTTAGTTTGCTTTTGCTTTAATAATTAATTCACTATTATCAATCCCATATGCTCCTTTTGTACTTTTTCACACTTGTTAAAATGACTCTCAACTACCACCTTTATTCTCACTCAATAGCAATTTTAACCTTATCAAATTTCTATCTTTGTGCCATTGAGTACCACGTAATTTACAGCTTTTGATTTTCACTTCTAAAGCCACTTCTGAGTCATTATATCACTTATGTCACCCCCTATCTATTACTCAATAATGGACCACCATATATTTTTGCGAAATACAAATACTACTTCACAGCCTCTGAAGATGATTTCGTCGATAAAGAAGCATTTTCTTCGCTGAATTTGTCTTTTATTTTCTTTATGCAGGAAAAACTGAGAGAGTCCCTGCCAAAAGGATTTCAATCCTAGCACAGTTTACTGGCTAGTAAATAGACAGAGCAGTAGTAGGTTTTCGGCGATTTGCAGAGGAATAATTTTGTAATGCATACAGAAGGACTGTGCGGTCTACCTGACTATGTCTTCGTAGTATTTTTTATTTACTCATCGTCTTATTATTTGTTTTAATGTCTTACAATGCTTAAAACACTTTTCAAGTTTTTCGAACACTTTCCGCAATTCATTATATATGTTATATCAGTAATCCTTTCTCTTTGTCTATCCTTCATTGTTTTACTATTATTATACATATTGTCATATCCTAATTAACATAGCTCTGCCAAAATGGATCCTAATTACACCTTGTCAGTATTATTTTGATTTATTTTGTCAGCCTAGCCTAGACTACTAGCTTGCTGGTTTTATAGCCGGTCCCAAGTCCGGATAAAGAGGGAGGGTTGGGGCGTGGGGCTAGCAACTCCCCCCCCCAAAAAAGTCAACCAAACCGCTACAGTAACTTCAATGCACCAATATATTAAAAATTCTAAAAATTTAAAAAGTAACCTTATTTTTCGCTGGAATCGGGGAAGTGAAATGATACAGGCTGGTTAGAG